CAGGAGCCAGCAGCAGCCAAAGGTCAGGGCAGAGAGGGATGGAGAGCAGCCAGCCCTCCCGGCAGCACCAGCCCCTGCAACTCACAGCTTTTTGTGCCGTGACTGTGCTGGATTGCTTCCTCCTCCTTCAGCTGCTGGGCATGCAGGGATGGCACAGCCAGCATCACCTCCATGCCAGAGGGGGGACACATTTCCCCCCCACGGAAACAAGCGCCTGCATCTCCTCAAGGATGCTCTGAGGCTCACAAGATGCTCCAGGAGACCCTCAGGGTGGCAGTGGGAGTGCCTGTTGGGCAGGCAGAGGCTGGTTGTCCCTTGGCTAAGGTTGTGCTCCTCTCCCAGCCGTGGGGTCAGCTGCAGAGGGGTCCTGGGGCACCTGGCCACCCCATGCTCTTCTCAATAAATGTTTTGGTAGTGCTCCACGTGGAGACAGCTCTTTTGGACAGGCTGGAAAGGACCAGGTTTCTGACCTGTGTTGCTTACAGCAGGGCTGCTGGGCTCTTTGAGGACTGGGAAGGCTCATTTCTGCCATCTCCAGCCACACATGATCTCTGGAGCTGCAGAGGCTCCCTGCAAAGTGGAGGTGAGAAATCCTCAGGGAACATGGGCTGCCATAGGTGTGTCCCTTCCTTGCCTCCCAGGAGCATCCCCTGAGTTCCCAGAACTTGGCTGCCTGCTGTGGAAAAGTTCCCTGCAGCAAAGAGCTGTGGTTTGTGTTTGAATTTGGGGCTAGCAGGTCCAGTCCAGCTCTGTGTGTGCAGAAAGCACCTGCCTCTCCCAGGGCCTGGGAGTGGTGCTGGCAGCTGCTCTGGACCTGCACCGAAACAATGAGAGTTGTTCCCTTTTGGGAAACACTGAGTCAGCCTGACCTCAAATAACTTTTCAAAGCAGCAACCCAGAAACCTCCCACAGTGTGTGTGAGCCTCCCTCCAGTCGAGAGGCCAAGGGACTGTTTTCACTGTACTTTATCGCATCTTTGCTGCTCAGCAAGTTCAGGGGGGAATAACCTGCTGCTGGCAACAAGCTGCTTGTAGCTCAGGCCAGAGAGGGACTTTGTGTAGCTCTGGTGCCAGCCCAGGATGCTCAGGCTCCCATTGTTACAGGGCAATGTCTGGCTGGAAAGGGCAGAACTGCAGGATGAGAAGCAGAACCTGTGGCTGTGCTGTGCTCCAGTGTGCACAGACAAGCAGGGTGTGGGGCTCAGCTGGAAAAGGCTGAGCCAAAGCAGAAGCTCTGCTGGGCCTGGACACAGCTGGTGCTGCCAGAACAACACTGAAAACAGTGGCTAAAAGTGGCAGTGAGAGATGGGGCAGAGCTGTGGTGTGGGGGGTGTGAGGTGGAGCTGCTGCCCTGCCCACCTGCTCCCAGAGCAACCAGCACTTCCCCAGAGAGCCCAAGGTGTCCTCCCCAAAGGGAGTGCTTGGGACATTGCAGATGAGGCTCCTTAGGACATCGATGACTTGGGGAGGCTGGTGCCTCACCTGCAGCTGGCTGCAGAGCCACTGGCCTCCCCGGGCAGTGGCAGTGCCGGGGTGCCCCTGTCCTGGCCACAGTCTGGGTGCTGCCAGCAGTGGGGCTGGCACTGGGCTCAGTGGTGGCACATCCAGAGTTTGCACATTCTGCTTGGAGGTGGAGGCAGGCACAGGACACAGGGAGCTGCTGAGGCAGGAGATGGATCCGTGCTGGGTGTGAGGGGCTAAGTGCCACCCTGGTGACAGGAGGGACAGCAGGGAAAAGCAGGGGTTCCCTGGCACATGACATCTCCACATCACCACTGCCCACCTGGCACGTGCAGCCGTGGAGGCAACAGGCTGCTGGACAAACAGCCACAGCTGAGGTGGGTACATGTAGGGGGTCCTGCCTGACTTCCCTGCTTTGTGTTGGTCTGATTGAACTGCAAATTCAATGGGCCTTAAGTTACAAACGCAGCTCATGTTTGTCTAAAGGTTCTCTGGGATCTTGGGGTTTCTGCTCATAAAAGTCATGGTGTGCAGTGCAGGGCAGCAGTTCATTGCACTTTATTGCTGTCTGAGAGGACAGGCTGAAGAAACAGATCTTTTGGAAAAGAGTAAACAAAAAGTTGGAAAGTAGTAAGAGCCAATCTTGCTGGAGCCTATGTTTCTGGTGATGGTGCTATTTCAGTGCCCAGGTGACCTTCTCCTCTGCTGAGGACTTAACCTCCCCAGAGGTTATTGCTCCTCTGCTCTCTGAAATAGCCCCACAAAGCAGAGAGAGAATTTCAGCTCCCTAATGCAAATTTTATTTCTTCTAAACCTGATGCCCAGCAGTCTCTCCTCTCAGGCCCACAGGAAAGCAGGCTGTGTTCTCCCAGGGGCTGAAGTTTTCTTACCAGATCAGGAGCATCTGCCAGACAAGGGGTGCTGAGTGGGGTCCCACATCTGGCCGGGCTGTTTCCATGTTCCTCTGTGCTTTGGAAGTCATGGGCCAATGTCCCCAAGGAACATAAATTACAAAAATACAGTCTGGAGGGCACCATGTGAATTACTGCCCATTACTCGTGTTCCTCCCAAATTCTCCTTTTATAGCTCTTTGTTCGGATATGTCAAAACTGGTTTGTTTATGCAGTTTGAGAGATGATGTTTCTCAACAAAAATGTTTTCCCTGTAGTTTTGGATTGGTTCCCTTCCACAGCCAGAGACCCCATCACTGAACTTCAGCCTGTGCAGTGCCCACTCTGCCTGTGCTGGGCGAGGGAATAGAGTCCCCAGGCAGCTCCAGCATAGCCAGCTGCTTTGTTACTCACTCCCAGGGAAACTCGGAGCACAAAGAATGACTTAGACCTGATGTAAGACAAGGTTTTTGGGTTAAAACGCAGCCGTGTGGCTGCACACAACTTCTGCCACTGCTCCCTTCTCCTGTGGGCCCTGAGCAGGCTGAGGGCTGCGTTGCCATCGAAGAGGCAGTTTGCAAGAGAAGGGAAAGACCTTAATTGGAGAGAAACGTCCCGAGGAGCCAGGAGCTCCTTGCCCTACCCCCTGTCAGGCCTCTCTGCCCTGAGAGCACAGGGAGGAGTCGTGGGCTCCTGGCTAAGAGGCCGAACACGAGATTTCATCATGCCCGTGTCAAAGCTCCTGGCAGTGCTCCTATTGATTCAAATAGCATGAGGAGATCAGCCCCGCCCCTTCATTAGCATAAATCAGCATCGCCGGCGTGGCCTGGCAGCTGCCAGCCCACATTACACCAGCAAAAGGTTTGGCCCAGTTTCACCAGAAAAGAGACCAGTGGTGGGTACAGCTCTGCCCAGCCCTGCAGGGCAGGTGTTCACCATTAGCAGCTGCTGGAGCTGCTCTCCCTCCCCAGGGGTAGCACAGGGGCTCCTTCCCATGGGGCCTCTATTTTACTGAGTTTGTACAGGAAAGAAAAAAAATAAGGAGAAAAAAAATATCTATGCTGCCAGGTTTTTAGATTCTACTTGTTTTGGGCAGCACTTTGTAAATCTATAAATGGAGAAGTAAAGGCAGGGGGGCACTCCCAGCTCTGCAGAGACCTTCTGCCCTCCCTGCAGGCCCAGGCCACCTGGCAGAATATTTTACTGTGTGCAGTGGATGGTAACAGCTGAGGAGTGGGTAAGGTCAGAGGAGCCCCCAAACTTGATTATCATAAGTGCTCCAGCCCTGCCTCGCTCACTGCAGGGCAGCTGGAGGCCTTATCACCTTATCACTGTGCATTAAGGAGACTGGACACTGTCCAGCTCCTCTGTGTTGGTCTGTAGCTCTTGACCCTTCTGAATAATTGCCTTGAAATGCCAGTGCTGCTTTATTTTCCTTTTGCATTTTACTGGAAACTGGGAAATGAATGTCCAATAGACTATGTGCCATTACTGTCTGATTCCTATCTGAGATGCATTTGAGTTATTAGGGGATGAGCCAGCTCAGTGGTGACAGCATCACTATGGTGTTTTTTCAAGAAAAAATGGCTCTCCAGGGTGGCAACAGGAGCCACACAGACTTGGGTGTGCCAGCCCTGCCTGAAAGGGAGCAGAGCCTCAGGGCACTCAGCTACAGCCCAGCAGCTGCCCATCTGACACGGAGCCTGGCCCGTGGGGTTGTGCAGGTACCACCAAGCAGCTCTGGTGCTGCGGGTTGTGCTGGACCATCACTCACAGCACCAGAGGGTCCAGCCCTTCTCCTCCTCTCAGCCAGCATTTTGCCATGACCCCCTGAAGTGACTGTGCTGGTTTCTGACCCGCTCTGGGCAAGACCCAAAGGCTGTTTTCATGACCTAACCGAGCAGTGTG